AAAATTTAGCTCTGAAAGTTGCTACGGAAAAACAGAAGCGATACTCTGGTATAAACAAACCTTTGATAGGACACCGCTATCCAAAATCAACTGCTTCAGCTTCGCTGCCTCGACAGAGTTGAGTATTCCAGCGGTCACTTCACATAGTCTGCCGACGGCTATCACGCGCTCGCTTCGTAGTGAGACATCACTGGAAAACGCGAATTTTTGGGAGTTACCAGGCAACACTAACTGAAGGCCTTATTTGCACTCCCTTCGATGCTTTTACAAAAAACTGCCTGCTGGCAACCGTTTCCTTTGACTTCCCCAGCTTTTCTGAAAACCTGCTCCGAGATTTTCCAAGAAATACATAGCACAAACTCTGCTATTGATAGTGATCTTTCTACACTTTCGCATTTAGAAGCACATTACAGCTAGACAGTTTCGAGCAACCAAACTCAACACTTTTCCCATGGTCACATTGTGATGAATTTAATGAAAATGCAGTGCATCTGGAAATAAAACCAACTTCGTTTCATCAATCTCCTTCCATTGACATGTTTTGATGTACATCGCGATGAGGGCTTTCTCAGCTTCCTCGTTACCCACAACGAGATTACCGATGACTCGTGAAACTTGAGCACAGAACTTGTTCACACTTTCCGATCCTATAACAGCAGAAAGTTGGGAATCCAGATTATCGACCTTTTCACTCAAATCCACTAAGAACGCGTGCACTGAATCAAGGCTCATTGCAGGAACATCAAGCCGATCAAATCGAGGAAGTAGGTAAGTCTGGCGATTCGAGAAACAAAAATAGCAACTTATCCAAGCACACGCTCTATTTTTGTATGGAAAAAATAATGAAGAAAAGAAAGAAAACTTACCAGAATCAGGACGCGCCATAACAAACGACAAAAGCCACTCGGCGTCTTCCTTTGAAATACCGGTCAGGATCTAGATGGAAGAGATTCATAATTAGGTATGGTAAACTCAAGTAAAACGACGACTCACTGGATGCACTGCTGGATCGTTCACTATTGCAGAAATCATCTGTAGATATTCGAGACCAATTTGCAGAACGCCTTCATCCGTAGAGCGAAGTGATACACACGAGTGTAATACCTGGAAATTTCATTTTGCTCCTTGTAGTAGCTTTGGAGCTCCCCAACCCCCAATATGTCAGAAGAATCATGGTCAGAGCTGGAAGGCAATCCAGCATTATTTAGCATTTCGCAATCGATTAGAAAGCAGATGGGGGGCTGACCAATACCCCTACTACTACCTTGGTCGATATGTGGTGTCGTATTAAAGTAAAAAATCTTACCTATTAAGATTTGCACATTTTCTCATAATGTTATATACTCTTCGAAAAGATTTTCTGCACTACGAAACGCATTGCACTTCCTCCATAATCATTATGAGAGGACTGAATTACAGGCTTGCAAAAAGGGAGGCACAGTATATGAAATTTGGCCAAAATTGAAACTCTGCGTTCCTCCCAAAGAAATCAATCGGTACCGCACTCCTTCCATGAACACAACCTCTTCTTGAAATATAACTCTCGAACAGGTCGTATCACAGCCTGGGGATGTAAATTTCTATGCGTATTTTTACGATAAATAGTCACCAATTCTTAACCCCCCCCCCGCCTCTAAAACCCTGCAGCTACGTGTCGCTGGAGTGGTAGGAGACACTGCAGATAGAGGATAAAAAAGCTGTGGAATCAAAACAAAAAAATCAGCTTCTAACTATAAGCTTACCTTCATGAAAGCATTAATAGCGCCTGACGACACTAAATCTACTCGCCCTTGTTCGGTTTTCACACATCTTTCGAAGAGTTTTCGTAGCTGACCAAGGAGGAACCTAAATTCGTGGGAACTATTCAATAACAGCCATGCAATATTTCAAATCTTAAAAGGTAATGTTCTATCGCACTGAAAAATGAATTTTACGAAGGAGGCAATACCACAACTGCCTTGCACGGCAAAAAAAAATTAAAAGGAAAATTTGATTTATCGTTATACTAGCTATCCCACAAAAGAACAATAACTTTTTTGGAGGAATCCCGTCTGTTGTCACTAAATCCTACAACACAGATATAAGCACTTTCAAGTTCTACCTGCCAGCACTTCCGGTGTCAGCCAGAGCAAGTAATCGCAGCGCTCGCGTTAAGCCACCACATTGTGACAAAGCACCAGTTAGTGACGATAAGGTCTCGTCTTCTTCTGCCTTCGCCTGAAAGAAAAACATAAACCTCAAAAATAAGGTTTGCCCCTCATACATAAACTGATATCTATTGATTTGAACAAATTTGCAGCAAAAATCGACTCCCATGAGTACCAATTGTTATTCATAAGGGTGCTTCTGTAACTGCCAAAAGACAAGTATACCAACCGAGCTGAAGGGAAGGATGGAAGCCAGTAATTCTTTGCTGAATGGATCCTCCCTTTCCAACAATCTAATCAGACATTATTTCCTCGAAACATTCAAATTAATAACTAGGTCATCAGCAGTTGTTTCTCCTCAAGACATAAATGGTTTAGGGAATCAAGGAAATAAAAACAGTAGTTCAAAGACATAATAAGACGAATATTTATGAGTGAAAGATAAAAAAAACAAGAATAAATGGTAAACACTATATTTACCTCCGTCAGCCTCTCCAAGTGTGGACACAAACGTCTCCACGGCATCACCAAGCAAACCACGCATCCTGTAAACGATAACCATCGGTTGTCCGGGATTGGCCTTCTTCCACAGCTTATCGTAAACGGCTCGTACTGGTAGAGACAACGAAATGATCTGATTATTCACCAGAAGCTGAAATTGGGTGCATAATCGATTTAGACCACAGCCATCTTCACGAATTCTAGTACTGAAGAGGAAAACCTGATCAATGCAAAAATCAAGCACTTACTTCCATTCCATTATCATCTTCCATGAGAGCAATCATCTCAGTGTCACGACAGATCTTATTCTTTATGTCTCGCATAAGCGGACCAAGACCGACATCGGTAGACTGCAATTGAGCTTTGATTATTATAATACTCTAAACACATGCGTGTGAAAACCTGGAACTCAAATTTCAAATTGGTTCTCCTTTTATTCACAGCTCGTGACCCCAAAGGGTTAGACCTCACTGGGAACTACTACATGGTCCTATCGCACTTAATTGGCTTTGATTTCTTGACAGATCCTTCCTTGTCATGCGATTTTGTCAGTTCATCAAAAGCTCGAAGCGTAAAAGGCACTGAACAAGTCAACTAAAAAGCAGTAGCTTGTCCTATATAGCCACCTAGAACCCTGGGTGATAAGAAGAAAAGGCTGCATGCTGCGAAGGAAAGAGGTCTCAGGATCCTCAGTCTTGAAGATAAAAAATGGACTACTGACAAATTAAAACGCACCTTGTACGGATTGCCGGTCATCCTTCCCTGGAGAAAATCTTCCTGAGCAGGATCCTTTTCAATTTGAATATGGAAATCTTCTTCTTCCTTTTGCTCCGGGTTCAACACATCCAAAATCACAGATACAATATGTGCCTGTAAATGAAAACACATAATTACAAAAAACGATGAGTTGGTACCATTCCATTGGAAAGACTCGTTTGTCGGTACCTCTCGTGAAAGAGCGTACCCTTGAGGTGAGCTATCATGTGGAAGCAATATTACCAAGGAAAATTTACTATTGTGCATCAGCGCTAATCAGTAAAGATGGAGTAACCACAATTCTTGAACGTCACTGCTCAACTTGATTGAGAGATTACTCGGACCCGGAGGTAATTAAGGGATCTCTCCCAGTCTGTACTGCCACCCGTCCGCCATTCCCAACCCCTGGAGAAAGGAAAAAGAAAAAGAATTCCATACCTGAGTGTTCAAGTCATCTATCGCATCCAGTGATTGTACAGCTGCTCGCATCAACATCAGTGGGTCCTTCGCCGAAATACGGCGAAGGAGACGTTCAAGAGAACAACGAGAAGCCTCTACAGCTCGCGTTCTTCTCAGAAGGACCCTAGATGAAATTAATCAACTTCCGGAGTCAGATTAGCCAATATAGCCTTGAAAATGTCTGGAAGAACCATTACTTATTGTTGTGCTCACTGAGGAC